GGATGGAACCTATGTCTCCTGCATTGGCAGGCGGATTCATTACCACTGAACCCCCAGGAAAGCCCCCTTCTCAGTCACTTCCTGTTGGAGCAGGGCTCTCTGTACTTGGAGTGGGGAGGGTGAACGAGTAACGGAATTCCGCAGCTCAGATCCTGCAAAGCAGTTTAAAGATGAGCTATTGCTTAACCCCAAGGCAGAGGCAGCCAGTTGTGCAGGAACTTCAAGGATTTGTGGTTTATAAGACCTGGGATGCCAAGGAGAGGGTGGCTTATGGGTGAGTGGTTGGCATGAGCTGGGGGTGGGCAACCTCTGCTGTCTGCTGCGATGGCCGAGATATTTGCCTAGAGGTGTTAGCTTCTTCCTCCAAAGACAAGCCCTGTGAAGGGGGTTAGAGGTTTATTACAAAAGGGTCAAAATGCAACCAAATTAAGTGAGGGCCAGTGGGGAGTTCTTGGGAGCTCAGACTACACAGGAGCATTCCAAAGATCTTACCAGATGGGCCAGGAGAGCAGGCAGTACGTGCCCTCACCCTGTGTTGGCCGGGGAGCTGCCAGCTGAGTGTCGGGTCTCTGGGCGTAGGGCGGTGCCCTGGAAGGGCTGGAGCTAATAAAATGGTGGTCTTACTTCCTAGGCTTTTGGACAGTCCTTTCTCCAGCCCGACATCCACCTATTTAAACAAAACCTCTTTTACTTGGAGACCCTCAACACCAAGCAGAAGCTGTACCACAAGGTGAGTGCCCCACCGCCTCTCAGATACAGGTTTCATCGTCAGGGGTGTCATGGGCCCAGGCCTAGTCCCTCCTCCTCGGGTCAGTGGCTGCGGAGCCTGCCAGGCTGTCGCTCACCCCGCTCTTGTCTGTCCGTCTGTCTGTAGAAGATCTTCCGGAGTACCATGCTCTTCCAGTTTGTGAACGTGCTGCTCCAGGTCCTGGTGCACAGGTCCCACGACCTCCTGCAGGAGGACATCGGCATCGCTGTCTACAACATGGCCTCCGTGGACTTTGACGGCTTCTTCACGGCCTTCCTCCCGGAGTTCCTCTCCAGCTGCGATGGCGTGGATGCCAACCAGAAAAACGTGCTGGGGCGCAACTTCAAGATGGATCGGGTGAGGAGAGGGAGGCCCGGCGGCCATCCGAGAGGCGGGGCAGGCTGCCCCGGGCCTGCTGGGTGTGCTCGCATGGCTCCTGGGGGACTCGGTGCTGTGAGCGGACGGAGGGGCACGCGCTGTCCCCGGGTGGCCTCTGTGGCGAGTATATTCCTTGTGTCCGCTGCCCAGCCCCAGCCCCTGTTCTGGCCCCAGCCATCTACCTTGTTTGTCTCAGCTTCTCTGCACCCCATTGAGCCCACTTCTGAGTGGGGCCCAGCTCTTGTTTCCTCTGGGTTGTGAGCTGGCACAGCCCAGACTTGTGACAGACCGAGACGATTGGTGCTTGGGAGGGAGCCCAGGGTCAGAGGTGGGGCCTTGGGCTCTTCTCAGACGCCAGGCGCAGCCGGGCTGACCTGCTGCCGGGGCCTGGGAGGAGCCTCCTGGCCTTCACGCTCTTCCCCCACTGTTCCCCCGGAGGCGGTCAGGTGGGCTGGGCAGCCCCTTAGGTGGGTACTGGGGTGGTGAGGTCTCTGGAGTGTGGGAAGCCATCCTTGCTGGTGTGTCTGGGTTCCATGGTGCCAGCCTCTTGTGCGCTGGGGCCTCCATGCTGGGCCCTCACCTGCCCTCCTCCTCCCTGTTTCCCCTGTCAAGTCTTTGCTGCTCACCTGCCAGGAGGTGCTTCCTGGACCTCTATCTGTCCAGTAATTTTTCGTCTTCTACCTCCTCACACTTGATGCGGTGACGCCTGCTTCCTCTCCTGTGTCCTCTCGGTGTTGCTGACCTGACCCGTGTGCACCAGCCTGTCCACCTTCCTCTTCCGGGTCACGTGTTGCTCTTGCTGGAGGAAACTCCCCATCCTCCTCGCTCGTCTCCTCTGATATGCGGCAGGATTCTTCTTTCTAGACTCAGCCCCTGTTTTCCCTTGTCTCGGAGTCTTTCTCTCCCTGGATTGATCTTGTTTTCTCCTGAGCTTCTTGAAGTTCACTTCAGCCAGTTGGGTATTTCTGTCATCCTTGTCCTGGAGGCCCTGATGTTCAGTGGTTGGTTTCTAATGGTGTTTTTGTTGGTCAACTTCTGGATTTAAAACAGTGGCTTTCAAATCTCAGTATGCATCAAGCACCTGGGGTGCTTTTGCAGCAGTACTCCTGTGTTTCACTCAAGAAATTTGAACTTGGCATTCAGGAGCCACTGATTTTAAAAACATCCTGGGTTTGTTTCCACAAGGATGAAGTAAGTAATCAGTGCCTTCATCCATCCATCCACCGTGTAGCTGAAGCTGGCTGCGTCTCAGGCCCTGTGCCGGGGTTCCGGGAGCACCACTCGCCCTGCCTCCAAGCATCTTGCTGGGAAGACGGTCAGCAGTGCCCTCTGTGGACCTCGCTGAGTCAGGCACCTTATGTGCTTGACTTTAAAAAAAAATAATTTTATTTATTTATTTTTGGGTGGGCTGGGTCTTTGCTGCTGCTTGGGATTTTCTCTAGTTTTAGAGAGTGGCGGCTACTCTCTAGTTGTGGTGCACAGGCTTCTCACCGTGGTGGCTCCTGTTTTGGAGCACCAACTAAGACGCACAGGCTTCAGTAACTATGGCTCGCAGGTTCAAGAGCACAGGCTAAGTAGTTGCACGGGCTTAGTTGCTCCATTGTGTGTGGGATCTTCCCGGATCAGGGATCCTGCATTGACAGGTGGATTCTTTCCCACTGAGCCACCAGGGAAGCTCCGTTGGCGTCTTTAAGCCTTCCAACAGCCTACTGTGAAGGGTTGGGTAAGTCCTGTTGCCAACCCTGCTTCACAGAGGAGCCCAGGCTCAGAAAGGTCAGCAGTACAGAACTTAGGATTGGTAGATTCAAGAAGCAGGATCCAGAGCTGGGGGTTCTGGCTCCGGAACCTGTGCTCTATCCACGGGCAGGGAGAGCTTGGAGCAGAGGCGCTCATCTCACCCGCTGAGGCCAGGAAATAGGTTGTATCCGAGTAGCCTTTTTGGAAGAGGCAGGCTTTGAGAAGAGGGAGGTTAGCCAGGTGGCCTTACAGGTGTGGACAAGCACTGTAGATGTTCCTCTGTGTGTGGACCTGCAATCCGGCATTGTTGATCCAGTCCCCCAAATGAAGAAGATAACCTCTGGTGGTCCCACAGTGGTCCATGGCTGACTTTGGGCTTCCCGTGAGGGACTTTCTCTGTTTGCACTCTGTGGCCAGCAGGCTAGGTGTCGGGTGGCGTGTAGGCCACTTCTGGTGTGTGACTCTTGATTGGCAGGGCCTGCCTGGAGCCCTGGCTGGAGAAGGCTCTGCAGAGGGGCCTGGCCGGCCACGGTGAAGGGGAGCCATGGCAGTGACTGCAGTCTGGACCCCTTCCCTTCCTGACTGGGTCTCCTGGGGCAGGTTTCCTAACCTGTTGTGCTTCACTTTCTTCCTCTTCCCAGTGATGGTGCTCACAATCTGGGTCGCAGGCTGGCTGTGAGGATTAAATGAGTTCATCTCCGAACTGCTTGGGGACAGGGCCTGGCACGTGGTGGGCACTAGGGCCATGTCTGCTGTCGTTCTTGTTCTCCCGCTGTGCTTTTGCTGACATGTGGGGCAAGAGTGAGGACAGTTTGGAGTCTGGTAGAGTGTTTGCAGGGCTCCGGAGCACCCTGCGGGGAAGTGGTGGCTGGGAGGTGTGGGTGGTCGGGTGTCGGGTGGGGCTGGGCTGCAGCTGTGCCCTGCCTTCCAGGACCTGCCCTCGTTCACCCAGAATGTGCACAGGCTGGTCAACGACCTGCGCTACTACAGACTCTGCAACGACAGCCTGCCCCCCGGCACCGTGAAGCTCTAGGTGCGGCCTGCTCACCACCCGAGGGACCCGATTCCTGCCGCTGCCCCCGCGTCACCTCCGCCTGCGGCCACTGGCGTCTCCTGATCGGCCTCGGCTGCTCCTCCCATGCTCACAACTCCTCCACGCTCCTCTCTTGCTGCCCGCCCAGCAGAACCGGCTCCGGGGCGTCCCAGCACTGGCTGAAGGGCATGGGGTGTTTGGAGCAGGCGGGGGTCATGCGGCCAGGTACCAGGGCGGCCCCAGGACACCCTATGGGTGGTCCATGCAGATCATGCGTGTCAGTCACCAGGCAGAAACGCCAAGGACAGCTGTGACAGTGCCACCTTCTCACCATTCCACCTCCCCCTCCCGGCCCAGCCCGCTCTGGAGAGGCATGATGTTGGAACTATGTTGGCACTTCCGTCAGGCCTCTCCTCCCTCCCCCTAAATTGCCTTGAAGTCTCTGCTTTTTGTCAGAGATTTGCAGACTCATGGGGTTTTTTTTTTTGGTTGTTCTTGTTTTCTCATCATTCCATTGTGATACTAAGAAACTAAGAAGCTTAATGAAAAAATAAAATGCTTATGTTGTTGTTATATAAATGTTGGTTAGGGAGCTTCTTTTCCACTCGAAACTTTCTCAAGAGAAAAAAAAAACCAACACTTCCTCAGGGTCCAGCATCCAGGTGAAGGTTCAGGTCTGGCGGGGAGCGGGGCCATGAGGGGTGGGCCCTGCATTGGTGCCCTGGGAGAGCCCTTCCCAGGATTGGCTTCCATTCCACCCTCTTCTCAACAACGTCTTTAACCCCGAGAAGACTCAGGGCCCCCGTTTCTCACGTTCAGGAAGGGCGGGGGACTTGGTCCCATTGATGGTTTTCCTAGTGGAGCGGGGTCTGGAGTTGGGGTGGTGCCTGCCCCCTTGCTCATCAAGTCATGCCCACTGCTCCCCCTCCCAGGAAGTGGGCCCCTCAGGGCCCAGGGTCTCTCCCGAGAGTGGCAGGGGGGCGGGGGTCTCCTGATGGGCCGTCTGAGAGTGGTGGCTGGAGGAGGGAGGGAGGGCGTAGCCATTCATGTGGGGGTGAGGAGTGGGTGGGACTCCGGGCCGCTGGTGTGTCAGGGAGCTGACACATGGGCGGAGATGGCACTTGTCCTGGGAGTTTCTGGGCTGATGGATCAGTGGCAACTCCTGCTTTAGGTGTGACGGGGAGTGGACTGACAGACGGGGTTGCTTCTCCTGAGGAATACCGCGCCTGGCAGGGAGGTATGCTCACCCTTTGAAAGTAAGGGTGGGTTAGGGTCAGGGTCCGGGTTGTCGATAGAACTGGAGAGGAAGGGAGCTGGCTGATGGCTTCTACTTCCAGGGCCTTTCTTGATAAGAATCACTTTGGTGGGAGTGGGGCCCTGGGCCGTGTTGGAGCTGTGTGTGTGTGTGTGAATGCACGCACCTGTGCACACAGTCCCCTGTTCCTTGTCAATCACAGCCTCCCAGCTGCAGCTAGCCCCACTTCTGAGTTCATAGAGGAGGGAATTGAACTTCAGTCACTCTCCTACAGAAGGGAATTAGCATCCAATTATTCCCAGGCTATAAATACTACCTCACCTGTCTGCGTGGCAAGGCTGGGGGCGCTGTCTATGCCGGCAATTATGAAAGGGCTTTTTGAACGCCTGGAGGTGGAGGGGGTGAGGGGATGGGTTTGGTCCCCTGTGAGCTCCACTCAAGGCAGGACCTGGGATGGTAGAAGAAAGGCCTTGAGGAGTGAGGTGAGTTGGAGGATTTTTATTCCAACACTGACGGGCACGGCCCCTTCTATGTGGATTGTAGTGAGCTCCCGGGCCTTGGAGTTGGACAGGAGGCTGGATGACCTGCAGGAAGGCAACCTCCCCTCAGGGGAGGTCAGACAGAGCTCTGATCTGATGCCTTCTGACCACAGTGTACTGCAAGGAAAGATCCTGTGTGTCACAACAAAGACCTGCTGCCACCAAATAAATATTTAAAAGATTATTTCTGTGAATTTTCTTTCCTATATGTGTGCAGAAATGTACAATTTTCTCATTCCTTTTCCCTTTTTTTTTTTTTTGAGATCCCATTGTTTTTGTAGTGTCCCTTTTACTTACTTAACATGACCATTTTCTCATGTTATTCAGTGTTAATCGCTCAGTCGTGTCCAACTCTTTACAACCCTAGGTACTGTAGCCCACCAGGCTCCTCCATCCATGGAATTCTCAAGACAAGAATAGTGCGGTGGGTTGCCGTGCCCTCCAGAGGGATCTTCCTGACCCAGGGATTGAACCTAGGTCTCATGCATTGCAGGCAGATTCTTTACCGTCTGAGCCATCAGGGAAGCCCCATTTTTAAGAATTATACTGAGTGTTATTATGTATTGTACTAAATCATGATTTTAAACCTTGGATGTTATTGTAATTGGAAAGAACAAATCTGACTCCATGTTTGAGCTGTTTCTTTTGCTTCAACCTTTGTATCCTGTTCCTTTTGCTTGGAGTTAAGAACATTACCTATTGCCTAAAATATACAGGATAGGCCATTCTCAAGGCTCCAACCTTTAAGAGTATAACATTTTTCTATTCATATGGAGATAAAAAGTTGTAGAACAGAGAAAGACATTTGTTTTGTTGGAGGTTTACAGGAACATCTTGACCTAACCTACATGAACGGAAGATTGCTGCACCAAGAAGTTTGTGACAACCAACAGCACCCCTCCCTCACCTGACCTTTAAAAATGCTTTTCTGAAATCCTTCAGGGAGTTCAGGGTTTGGCGGGCATGAGCCTCCTGTCTTCTTGTGTGGCCCTGCAATAAACTTTTCTCTGCTCAAACTCCAACATGTTGGTATTGTTTGGTTTCACTGTGCATAGGGCACATGAACCTCAGTTCAGTAATTGTATTATTTCATATGGTGATAACCATGATTTGCTTACATTTTTTTTTTTATTACAAATGATGCTGCAGTGAACATCTATGTACATAAATCTTGGTGCACTTGTGTGGTTATTTCCATAGGTTCAGTCCCGCATGTGAAATTGCTGCATCAAATGTTTTTGAAGCTTATGATAGGTGTTAGTGGGGCCTGATTTCTATTTCAGGAGAAGCATGAAAGTTAACAGATTTCAGAGCTGCAAAATGTCTGTGCTGTAAGGCTCCAAGTCAGCCCCTGGTTTTGTGGACCCCCTGGGGGTGCCTGGCTGGTTAGTGGCAGCCTAAACAGCCCTCCTGCCCACTTCTCAGCCACACTGTTGTCCCTGAGTAACACCTCTGCAAGGCGGCTGGGACCTGAGAGAGAAGAGTTTACAGTTCTAGTCCACTTCTTGGGCCTTGACAGGAACCGTAACTGATGGTGGTTCATCAGTTCAACAAACTTATCATCTGCCTTCTTAAGCCAGGTGCTAGGCTGCAAGGGAAGGAAAGATTCAGAGACAAATAAGATACAGCCTGTGTCTGCAAGGAATTCACAGACCATTGAGAAAGGCAAAGAGATTATTGCAGAATGTGTGCTAGACTTCCCTGGTGGTACAGTGGATGAGAATCCGCCTGCCGGTGCAGGGGACATGGGTTCAATCCCTGGCCCAGGAAGATTCCACTTGCTGCAGAGCAAGTAAGCCAGTGCACCACAACTCCTGAGCGCGCAAACCACAGCTACTGAAGCCTGCTCCCCTAGAGCCCATGCTCCGCAACAAGAGAAGCCTCCGTGATGAGCAGCCTGAGCACCACAACGAAGTGTAGCCCCTGCTCCCTGCTACTAGAGAAAGCCCACATAATGAAGACCCAGCACAGCCGAAAAAAAGAATCTAAGTATTTAGGACTGTTGGGGTGATGGGGGTGAGGAGTCTAGGAAATGGACAGCGGGTTGTTGAACTAGGGGGTCAGGGGAGGCTTCGTTGCAGGTGGCGATCACCTGAGCAGGCTCTCACCTGGGGCGAGGGGTGGAGGAAAGGTGAAGACCCAGGTCCAATAGCATCTTCAGGCTGGTGAGCAGGCTGGAGCTGGCTCAAGACCTTTTGAAGACTGCCACGAAGCTTTGGTGGACAGATGGGTGGGGTGACTAAAATCTTCCAAACCAGGATGTGTTGAGTAAGAAGAGACTTTATCGACAGTACTTCTGGGACAACAGGTGTCAACTGGGGCTTCTGTTCCTGGAAGAGACAGTGTCTGGCCCTGGGAGGCTTGTTGCGCTATAGCAGAGCTTCCCAGGTGGGTCAGATATAAAGAATCTGCCCGCAATGCGGGAGGTCTGGGTTCGATTCCTGGGTTGGAAAGAGCCCCTGGAGAAATGAAGGGCAACCCACTCCAGTTATGCTTGCTTGGGGAATCCCCATGAACATAGATAGAGGAGCCTGGTGGGCTCCAGTCCACGGGGTTGCAATGAGTAGGGCACAACCGAGTGACTAACACAAAGACACACGACCCCCGACGTCCTTCCATTCAGCTTCAGGTGCAGCCTCCTGGCTCATCCGGAGGGATCAACTCTGAGCTGGTCCCGAGCGCTGAGATAGAGGTTGCACAATAGTGTATTCCGCCGCAGCTAACTGCAGTCTTACTGGTTTGGGTTGTCTCCACACCAGCTCTGGGGGAAGCAGGGGTCCTCCCTGACCCTCTGGGCCGGAGCCGGCTGCCCTCCCCTCCTCAGGAACTCTCCTGCCCGTCCCTTGACACAGGCTTCCTCACTGACCCCGCGGTGCCTGTCTCCCCCACCAGAGTGAGGTCTCCTGGAAGGCCGGGGTGCATCTGTGTCCCCAGTGCTCCGTGGAGGGCTTGGCCTGGGGCAGGTGCCCCCAGACCACTTGAGTGCATGAGGATCTTTCCAGATTTATCCAAACGGGTGTTTCCTCACAAGAGGAAGCTGGAGTCACACTGGGGTCTCTTCTGGCTAATTTTTAACATAATGAAGCTGCATCCTTGGTGTCTGCTCAGAACGCCCGGCCTTGCTTTCAGGCTCCTCAGGGAGAAGCACTCGAGTGAACGGCTCTTCAGTGAAGAATTTCTTCAGTTCAAGGACTCCCTTTTCCGCTCTCCCCTGTCTGTGTCATTCGGAGACATCTTTTAAAAGCCACGTTAATTAGCTGGCTCAGGCCCTTGAGGGGGTTGGTGGGTTTCACCACGGACCTGGGTTTTGTGGCCCCCTGGGTCTAAGTCTTGTGAGGTGCTGGTGGTGGAGGGCAAGGAGAAAGACTAATGATTTAAACACCTCCAGTAGCTCCAGTTTTAAAAAATATATTTGATTGATATTTATTTGTTAGCTGCACCTGGTCTTAGTTGCAGCTTGTGGGATCTAGTTCCCAGTCCAGGGATCGAACCCAGGCCTCCTGCATTGAGAGCGTGGAGTCTTAGCCACTGGACCAGCAGGGGAATTCCCACAGCCCCAGTTTTCCTTCTCTTTATTGTACAAATAATGCATGTTCCTTTCCGATTAAAAAGAAGAAAATAAAAATCTCTTAAGGCATTATAATGACTTGGTGGGTGGCCTTCCAGACCTTTCCCTGTGTGTCTGTACATCCACACGTCTCTTTCAGGGTGAACCAGAGAATGTTACGTGCGTGGCAGGGTTCGGGCCCCTTAGGCCTGTCTGCATATACATGCCCTTTGGTGGGTCACAGGCCCCTTAGAGGACCCAGCTGTCTTTGGCTGTTTCTGCCAAGAGAAAACTAGGGCTGGTGAGAGAGAAGTGGCCCCTGGAACACTGTGAGAGGTAATCTGGGCCCTCATTTCTCTTGGACCCACATGAGTGTCTGGAGTTAGCACGAGTTCTGAAACTGGAGGCTCATCCAGAGGCGCGGCTCCTTCCAGAGAAGCCATCAGATGCTGTCCACTCTTGCAGCCCTCGAGGAAGGCTTAACTGCCATTTTGCAGAGGTGGGGCCTGTGGTCCAGAGGCTGCCATCAGCCCAGCCCGCCTCCCTCAGCCAGTGGATGACTCCTGAGCTAATGGAAGTCGCTGCGACCTTGCTTCCAGCCTCTGAAGGGCGCTGGAGTAGAAGTGATTCAGGCTCCAGAGAAGGACGTGCATAGCATTGCCAACTTCCTCCCGCTGAGCCTGCCGGGGGAGGGGCTGGGAACTCCGAGGAAGCTGTGAAAAAGTGAAAGTGTTAGTCACTCGGTCACGTCCACTCTTTGACCCCATGGACTGTAGCCCGCCAGGTTCCTCGGTCCATGGGATTCTCCGGGTAAGAATACTGGAGTGGTTTGCCATTTCCTTCTCTGGGGGATCTTCCCGACCCAGGGATCGAACCTGGGTCTCCTGCATTGCAGGCAGATTCCTTACCATCTGAGCCACCAGCAGTTGCTCTGGGGGCTGTTATTACCTTACTGATGTGTGTTGTGCTATTTTCAGAAATGGTTCCCACCTGCTGCTGGAGACAGGCCGCCCTCCAGATCCTGTCCAGGGCTTGCCCTCTGCAGGTACCCCCCTCACCCCCTTAGGATTCCTTTGATCTTAGAGAGGAGACTGAGACTCAGAGAGGGGAGATGACTTGCCCAAGGCCACACAGCAAGTCACTGGCAAAGCTGGGGTCCCGTTTTAGGTCTGTGTGCTCCCCTGCCTGCGTTCTTTCTGCTGTGCCAGAGCTCATGGAGGCGCCAGCCTTGGCTCAGCCACACTGGGCAAGTGGCATGCCCAGGGGCCTGGAAGCTTCTGTGCTCCTGTCAGTCATTCCTAAGCTCATATTCCTTTTTTTTTGGCCACACTGCTTGGCATGTGGGATCTTAGTTCCCTGACCAGGGATCACACCTGTGCCCCTGCAGTAGAAGTGTGAAGCCCTAAACACTGGACCACCAGGAAACTCCTCCTAAGCTCATATTCCAATGAGCAGGACATTTGTCACTATTCCTCTTAAACCTGAAGGACATTGGGGCCCGGAGGGGTTATGTGGCTTGCCGAATACACAGGCTTCCTAGGTGGCCCAGTGGGAAAGAACCCGCCTGCCTGTGCAGGAGACACAGGAGACCTGGGGTCAGGAAGATCCCCTGGAGGAGGAAATGGCAACC